GTGTCGGAGTGACAGTGAAGGAGTGTCAGTGTCGGAGTGTCAGTGTCAGAGTGACAGTGAAGCAATGTCAGTGACGGAGTGTCAGTGAAGGAGTGTCAGTGTCGGAGTGACACTGTCGGAGTGACAGTGAAGGAATGTCAGTGTCGGAGTGACAGTGTCGGAGTGTCAGTGATGGAGTGTCAATGTCAGAGTGACAGTGAAGGAATGTCAGTGTTGGAGTGACAACGTCGGAGTGACAGTGAAGCAGTGTCAGTGTCGGAGTGTCAATGAAGGATTGATAGTGAAGGAGTGGTAGTGACGGAGTGTCAGTGTCGGAGTGTCAGTGTAGGAGTGATCGTCAAGGAGTGATAGTGACAGAGTGTCAGTGTCGGAGTGTCAGTGTAGGAGTGATAGTGAAGGAGTGATAGTGACGGACTGTCAGTGAAGGAGTGTCAGTGACGGAGTGATAGTGAAGGACTGTCAGTGTTGGAGTGTCAGTGAAGGAGTGTCAGTGAAGGAGTGAAAGTGAAGGAGTGTCAGTGAAGGAGTGTCAGTGTAGGAGTGATAGTGAAGGAGTGATAGTGATGGAGTGTCAGTGAAGCAGTGAAAGTGAAGAAGTGACAGTGTAGGAGTGATAGTATAGGAGTGATAGTGATGGAGTGTCAGTGTCGGAGTGTCAGTGAAGGAGTGATGGTGAAGGCGTGATAGTGACGGTGGGTCAGTGAAGGAGTGATAGTGAACGAGTGATAGTGACGGAGTGTCAGTGACGGAGTGATAGTGAAGGACTGTCAGTGTTGGAGTGTCAGTGAAGAAGTGATAGTGAAGGAGTGTCAGTGAAGGAGTGTCAGTGCTGGAGTGTCAGTGTAGGAGTGATAGTGAAGGAGTGATAGTGACGAGTGTCAGTGTTGGAGTGACAGCAACTCTGACAGTGCACGCTTTCTCAGTTTTGCATAAGGGTGTGATCCTACATTTTTGTGCTCAACTCTGGAGTGAAACTTGAACCCACCACCTAATGGTTCTCAATGGTCCTATTAACACACTGAATTGAAGAGTAAATTGTGGTGAAGGTTTGTAATGTATTATCGTTTTTTGTAAACTTGGATTTTAAAGAGTTGGACATATGTATAGTACAGGGGAGTCTGGAGATTCGTTTTGTTTAAACGCATTGAAATGATTTCCTAAAATCTGTGAGGTGAACAGTCGGATACATTAGGAAAAGGGAAGAAGAGTAAAAAGCTGCAATTGACAACTGATAGGAGACTAGTAACACAGAAAGTCAGAACCATCCAGACAGAACTGCAAGTGTGCAGGTTAATTCAGTGAAAAAGCAGCAGATGTGTCATTAGTTTCACAGACTTCAAAACAGTCAGGGCAAAAGAAAAGAAATCTTGAGTGGCTTAGAAGTCAGTAAAAGAAAAGCTTAGGTAAAAGAAAACCAGTAGGTTTTTGAGGTGTCAGAATGGAAGGCATCCAACAGGCTTTTGAAGACATGGGTTTCAGGAATTCACATTAAGGTGTAAGTGAATTGAGTTAGCAGCTTGTTTAAGGGTCTCAGGAAAAGAAATTAACTAAAGAAAACAGAATTGAGTGGATGCAGAAATTTTCCAAAAAGAAACTGATTACAGTCATAGTGGTTGAACATGGAGTTGTAAAATGGACATAGGGGTGACCATTAACTGAAGGTTGTCTGTAATGTTGGGGTGGCTATGGAAAAGGGTTGATTTCTTTTCTGATATTTGAATATTTTTGTTTCAAGCAGTTCTTGTTTAGTGTAACATTGTTTGTGCTTTATATTTTCTGTAATCGATTTTTACATACAGCCTACCCAGCCTTGGTGGCCTGTTGGGTATATATTCAAATAACAAAAAAAAATCCATGGCCTATGAAGTCAGGTTCCAGTCTGGGATCTGACTTTTCCAGTATTGATATCAATATTCTGAAATGATCTGAGAATGCCAAGTATCCAGTTTGAATCTGTCGGGCAAAATAACAAATGCTTGAAACCATGAGCTAAGAGAGGATTAATGCAATGTTTCAAGTGACACAGTAAGTTTTGGTCAGGGTAACCTCAGTGCTGACATTGTAGAAAGCAGCAAACCTCTTTTGTAACCACACGGAACTGAAAAATTACACATTGCCACATTCCAATTCAGTATGACCATGAAGTCAGCTTTTGTGTGAGTGCTTTGTTCCAATAAGCTGAAACCACAGCACATTCAGTGAATGCCTCGTCATCTCGAACTGCTTCAATATTCCTTGCTGATCAGAAAAAGTCTGAGCATACAGTCAGCAAATTAAAGAAAATCCTCCATATTGTCAACATATTAGTGCCCCCTGCTCTACTTCAACACAAGGGTTAAAACACATTGTATGTTAAATGTATCTATGTTAAAGCTAAAGTCAGGAACTTCAAGGCTTGTTAATGTGATTGGGTTTGTATGATCATATTGCTTTGTGTGATATGGAGCACTGAAAATTGAGGTTGGGTAAGACACTAGAATCAGAGGTTGCACAGATGGTTGTCAGGATTTGTTGCACACTAATTGATAATTACAATTATTTGTTGATCTCAAACAAAAAAGTAGGGCTACGGGAAAGGGTGGGGACTGGCAGTAGGCAGGTTACTCTGCAGAGAGCCGACATGGACACAATGGGCTGATTGGCCTCCATCTGTGCTGTAGCCATTTGATGATTCTGTGATTCTATAGTTTCTATTATTGCTGTATCCTGTAACTGCTAGGAAGTCAAAAGGCAGACTCAATGAACCTCATCTTTTGTCATCTGTTAAATCTTGTGTTCCCATAATTGTGTAACTTTTAAGTTGCAGTGGGTTTGTAAAGGGTTAACGTTTACTTTGTAACCACAGGTGGAAGTGAGAAGGTTGGTTAATGGGGAGCCAGGGTGCTGGGTAGTAAGTGGTATGGAAATTGCATATTTAAGTCAATCTAGATGGACTAGTCGGCAGAATGAACACAGTAGGCCAAGCAGCATCAGAGGAGCAGGAAAGCTGACGTTTTGGGCCTAAACAACGGTCTAGGCCCGAAATGTCAGCTTTCCTGTGCCTCTGATGCTGCTTGGCCTGCTGTGTTCATCGAGCTCCACACCTGTTACCTCAGATTCTCCAGCATCTGCAGTTCCTACTATCTCTGGTCGGCAGAATGTCAACTGTCTATACAGCAGACATTGAGAGTCCATCCAAGAGCGAAATATGACTTTATTCACCTTCAAAATTAGCAGAGTGTAGTTTTATGGTGGCTTCAGTCACTAAGGACAAACTAATTTAACTGATATTTATATGAGCCAACCCTGGGCAAAGAAAGTTAAAGGTCACTGCCTAAAATTTCCAATTTTCAGATGAAAGAGCTGAGGATCTAATGTGTAATCCTACTGATAGAACATGATGAGATGGACAGGTTAGAAAACAGGCGAAATGCTGTGAATGCTGGAAACCTGAAATAAAATAGAAACTGGGAATAATGGGTTCACAGTGCAAGGCAAAGAGATCAGAATAAAACAATGATGTAATGTCAACAGTAGAGGTCTCAAGGGGGAGACATTCTAAACTCATGCTGAAATCTTACTGCACAAATCAAATGTGCATAAATAAAAGTAAATTAACACAGACCGCTGTAGAGTCATTTGTAAAAAAACAATCAGGTCGCTAATACACTGAGCAGTAGGCAAAACAGAAACTGTGACATACTGACCAGACCTGACAGAATCTATGATGACAGAAAGAGAAACAGAGTTAAGTCTTTTTATTAGATCAGCAGTTCTGAAACGCTGTGGGGACCGAGGGCTTGTCTGGGGAACTACAAAAGTCCCATTCAGCCTCTGTAGTAAGTGCCAATCATGCACTGAAGTGATCACTATCATCATCCCTGGGATTACCCTGGGAGGAGCTGGAAAACCAACCCAATTCCAGGAGCAATGACAGCTGCTGGCAACACAGCCACCAAAGACCAAAAATCAACAAGAGATCCCAAGTCAAAGGTGGGTGATG